TAGAGCAGGGCAGAGGGCTAGGAGTCACAGCTCCTGGGTTCTTTCCCTGGCTGTGCTTAGGACTGAGGAGCCAGACTGGTGGGGGGGTCACAGATTCCCTGTGCAGGAGGTGGGAGGGTTTGCACCTGGCAGTGACTATGACTCTGTCTCCTTGCAGCAAAGCGTAAATCCGGCAGCTCCTTCTCTGATGACTCCTTCACCTCCCCACAGGGCCTGTTCATAGGCACTGACATGCTGACAGAGGTAAGAGGCCCCAAGCAATCAGACCCAGCCGACGAGGGACAGGTCTCCTTTGCCAATACGCTCAGCACCACCCCTCAGAGTTGAGAGGCTGCCACCTTGTGGAGCTTAGCCCAGTTCTCCAATTGATCAAAGTTGTTCTGAATTCTTATCCAGTCCTCCAGCATGCTCACAACCCCAGTGTGCATTGTCCACAAGTTTTATAAGCAACCTCTCTTGTCCATTATTTTCATTAATGACTTGGCTGGAGAATAGTACCAGACCCCAAACAGGGAGATGGCCCCTCTCCATTGCAGCCCCCTAGTTTAACAGTGAACTGCAGCAAACTACTTTTTGGAGTACAGTTTTTCATCCACTTTTGTCCCCCTCCCCATAATAGTTCTATCAAGACCCCATTTCCCCTAGTTTGCTGTAGAGAATGCCATGTGGGACTAAGTCAAATGCACTAAAATCAAGAAACATCCCATCTTCTGCTTCCCCCAAGCCACTCGGCTGGTTGTCCTGACAGAAGAAATTATGTTGGTTTCCCAAGGTCTGCTTTTGACAAATCATCTTGACTATTCCTTAATCTTTAAGGTGCTTACAAATTGTTTAATAATTTTGTTCTAATATCTTGCCTAGTAACAAAGTTAGCCAGATACTTTGTAACTCCCTGGGTCTTCTTGGTTCCCCTTTTTCAAAGCAGGGACTTTGTGTGCCTTTCTCCACTTATCTATGAACTCCCCTTCCTCCCCAGAGTTCTGAAAAATAATTGCTAACAGTTTCATGATTGCTTTAGCTTAGTTCCTTACATAGCCGAGAGTAAATTGTAAATTTCATCAGGCCTTGCAGATTTGACGACATCAAACTTAGCTACCTATTCTTTAACCTGCTCTCACCCTCTTTTGGCCTGTGTTCCCTCATCGCTGCTAATATGTGTCGTGTTGAGCATCACCATTAACATTTTTAATGGGGAAGCAAATAATACTGTTAATAATGTGGATGTTGTCTGGGAGCCCTGATTTTGGTTGGGGACCCTAGGTATTAGTCATCACCCACCTGGTAATTATAACAACCTGGCCTGCTGCTCTGACTCCTTGCTTTTCTCTCCTTGCAGATCTCCGATCAGACCTGCAGCCTCCAGCTCTCCATCAGTTCCAGCCAGGGCAGTTCCAGTTCTTAAGGTGTCAGCCCCAGGACCAATGCTGCAAACCAGACCCTCTTGCACATTTATAATCTGTGTTAGCCAGCGATGCCACGAAAGTTGCTGTCGCCACTGCCGTCTATGAAATATTCCCCATGCTGAGGCTGTGCTCAGGGCCTGAGGAATTTGTCCATCCTATATTCTGAAATTCAGAAATGATGGTACCAAAATATTTCCACCCTATTTCCCCTACCTCCCTGCCCACTTCATTGCCTAAAAAATCTTTGCCATGGGACACAGCCCTTGCACCCTTGTGGCAAGAGGAAGCTACAATCTGCTAATGAAGCATATGGGTGAAGAAGAAAGCTCCCACACACACAGGCATGCTGTCCCAGGGAGCACAGCAGCTTCTTCCTTGGCTCTGGATACCCCAGGGGGATGATGCATCAAGTGGAAAGGGAGCAGGTGAATCTGCCTTCTAACCTACCTGGGCAGTGGGAGCTGCATGGCCTGAAGATTCCACTGCTGCCTGCCCTGGGTGCTACTTCACTGTACCTGGAACCCATAGAGTGGAAAGCATCAAGGATTGTGGTGCGGGCCTTGCTTCTCCCAGCAATTCCCAAATCCTGGCAGCCATCTGAATTGGGGCTGGATTAGGCCCTTTTTTTACTGCTGTGTCACATAAATGAGTCCAGATGGGCCAGATTCTGATCTCGGTTATCACCTGTATCGCTCCATTGGAGTAAATCTGGTTTCACAGGAATTGGATTGTCATCTGCCACTGCGTATTCAGGTTCTTGTCGAACCACTCAGGGATTGGGTTGCTTTGCTGAGTCGTCATGACATTGTTTAATCCTGGTTGTATTTCCTTAAGTGTTTTTTTAAATGTTCACAGTTCTGCAAGAACAAAGAGATGCCGAAACCAAAGATTATCTATTTCCATTCAAAGGAAGGGGAAAGAACCCTTCCAGGAATGCTAATTCTGGGGGACACTAATTTAAAGGTACAGGGTGAATCAAAGACCAGATATATTTAGGAAGCAAATGTGTAAATAATTGGACAATTGCACCATTAAATGCTGTGCAAAGGTTTGCAGTCTGTTCTGGTCTATACAGCAAGGGAGGATGTGCTGAAAGAGGGACTGATACCTGTTGATATAAGGATCATGGCTTGTGGATGCAAATAAGGCTTTGTGTGTGTGTGATAAATAGGCAATAAAGCTCAGGTATTTAATGGGGAGGGCGCGCATGCTTTGGAAACGTTGTTCAAGGATTGTGAACTGAGTGCTGGCAGTTTTTACAGCAGGATTGGCTGCTTTTCTAACAGGCCTGCGCACATTCAAACAGGAGTGGGCTCTTCTAGCTTTCAATGCTGCAATGACACCAGTACTTTTCACCCATATACACCTACTTCTGCAACTGTGGCATCTGGCTCCCCTACACCAGTACTTTTCACCCATATACACCAACTTCTGCAAGTGAGACATCTGGCTCCCCCTTGCACACAGAGGCTCTGTCTAGACTGGCAAGTTTTTCCAGAAAATCAGCCACTTTTCTCGAAAAACTTGCCAGCTGTCTACACCAGCCACTTGAATTTCCGCAAAAGCACTGATAATCTCATGTAAGATCGTCAGTGCTTTTCCGGAAATAATATGCTGCTCCCGTTCGGGCAAAAGTCTTTTTCCAAAAAACTTGCGCAAGAGGGCCAGTGTAGACAGCAGAGATTTATTTTCCGCAAAAAAGCCCCGATCGCGAAAATGGTGATCGGGGCTTTTTTGCGGAAAAGCGCGTCTAGATTGGCCATGGACGCTTTTCCGGAAAAAGTGCTTTTCCGGAAAAGCATCCTGCCAATCTAGACGCGCTTTTCCGAAAATGCTTTTAACAGAAAAATTTTCTGTTAAAAGCATTTTCGGAAAATCATGCCAGTGTAGACGTAGCCTGTGGTCCTGACGTCCTGCATGAAACAGAACAGGCCTCAGGCTGCTGTACGTGACCTCATGCTTCCCCACAGGCAGGATGATGTTTTACCCCAGTGCAAATCTGAAGTGCTGGCAGGGAGGGCTCCAGTAACTACTCTAAAGCAGCCCAGTCCCTATACTGTTGTGTGACTGAGCCAGGGAACCACCAGTAGGTGCCTGGCTGACAGTGACCCGCATGGGCAAAGGGGACTCGTGCTCTCAGGAGAGGGGCCGGCTTTCAGTGACCAGAAGCAAACTACAAACATTCCCCCTCTGCCAGGGTGGGGAGCTCAGCTGCTTCCTGCGCTGGGGCGACTCACAGCCACCTCTTTCCTGCCCCCTAGTGCCATTTCCATGCACAGCCACACCCAGCTGAAAAAGCTAACAGGCGCATGCACCTTGGAAACAAGGCGGCAGTCCCAAGCAAGTGATTTTTAAACACATCAAGCATTTCCTGTTGGTTATGGCTGGGGGCCAATGGGGAGCCAGGAGCTGGGTACAAACCAGGAAGTGGCCTCCCTGCAAGTAAGTGGCAGCTGCACAGCATCCAGTGTAAGGATGTTAAGGACTAGTCAACTATCCAATGAGGAAATGCTTATCGGCTAGTCAAGTCAACTAATCGATTCTCCCCTCCCCCTGCAGCTAGAGGCAGCAAGGGGGGAGGGAAAAGGGGGTACTTTAAAGTGGCAGTGCCGCACGGAGCCCATATCTGTGCAGTGCTGCCACTTTGAAATGCTGCCACAGTGTTTGCATGGAGCCTGCAGTCAGCTGGGGACTCCCCAGCTCTTCCTGGGTTCCAGCGTGGAGTCCCCAGCTGATCCTGTGTCCTGCGGAAATGCTGTGCGGAGTCTGGGATCAGCTGGAGAGTCCCCAGCTGACCCCGGGCTCCAAGTGGCATTTCAACGCGGCAGCAGAGCATGGAGCCCAGGTTCAGTGGGGGACTCAGAGTCTCCCGCTGACCCCAGGCTTCATGAGGGCATTTCCGCTTTGAAATGCACAAGAACCCCTGCTGGGGACTCTTGTAGATTTCAAAGCTGGCACCCACGTGCAGCCCGGAGTCAGTGGGAGTTCCTGCTGGCCCCAGGCTGCACACAGAGTTCCGTAGTCCTCCTTTGGGATGTACAAAAGCCCCAGCGGGGACTCATGTACATGTCAAAGGAGGAATGTGGAAGGGCCTAGTTAAATAGTCAATGGAAATTCCATCAACTACTCGACTAGTAAATAATTCGATATTTAACATCCTTAATCTGGAGCAGGGGAGAGAGTGAGCTGCAGCCCCAGGTTGAGGGTCCCTCCACCACAGTCCATGCTCACAGGGCGCTGTTATCACTCCTGGCAGCACCTGCAAGAACCCTTCCGATCTTTTGCCCAGACAGCAGAGGTCAGGCCTCACAGGCTGCTTGCACACAGATACTTCCTCTGTCACATACACAGTATACTGGGGGCGGGGGGGATTGTGTGTGTGAGAAAAAGTTGGGGAGAGGAGGGGCTCCATGTGAGAGAGAGAACGAGAGAGGGGAGACTGTGTGAAAGAAAGAAAGGGTGGTGGTGGAGTGAGTGTGCGTGAGTGAGTGAAAGAGAAAGAGAGAGCGTGTGTGTGTGTGAGAGAGAGAAAGACTGACTTTGTGAGAGGATGAGAGAGATGAGTCTCTCAGGGATTCATTCTGATTTAAACACAGATCATTTAAAATTAATTTATTCCTACATCCTTTATATACAACAAGGAAGACTGCAGCACATACAAGAAGAATGCAAATAGCCACACAATCACCCAGCTGCTTTTTACTGAGAAGCACGCAGAATAAATACAGTAAAACCACAAATCTGTGCATCCCTGCATGCAAGTGTACCTGGTTGGTGGAGTGGCCATATTGCTGATGTATGTATAAACTAACATTCTAAGAACATATATACAAGCTATAACTAGAGCTTCCACTGTCATGTTGCCCGTCAGTCCAGTTTCCTGGCTCCCAGTTTCATAGGTCCCTTTGCCACCTTCCTGTCCGCCCTTTTAGCTTCCATCTCCTTCTTCCGCTCCTCTCGCTTCTTGCGTGCTAATTCTGCCCTGCTGAGCCCTAAGGAGACACAAGAATTCCCTGCTAGTAGGAATAATGCTGGATGGAACCATCATAGGCAACTTTCCCACTTCAGCAACTCACCCTGGTCAGAGTCCACGGATTCCCAGTTTTCCTCTGTACCCCACTCACCAATGGCGTCCAGGCTTCGCTAGCAACAGAAGTTAGACTCAGAATTAGCACGGTTATGGCCTTAACTTGGCAGCAAATGTTTTAACAGTGAGGGGGTGACAACACAATAGTCACACACAAGGCCACTGTGTAGAAGTGGAATGGGGCTGACTTGGCCCTTCCCAGGCTATTGTGGGGTTTGTAAACCCCCCTTCGTTGTGAGACACGGAGAAACTTACCTGGGTCTCTGCTGTTGACTTGTGAGTAGGGATGATGGAGAAGAACGGATCTGGTTTCTCTGCACTCAACGAGCTGTCCCAGTCATATTCACTGGCCAGTTTGGTCCCTTCTGGCAGGGCCACAGGAGCTTGCTGTGAGGGGGCCAGTTTCTGTGCTGTCCAAGAATCAAAATCCTCCTCCCAACTGTCCTCTGCCACAGAGCTTTGTCCCTGAGCACCCCACTTCTTGTGGCTCCAATTAGATCCAACCTCCCAGCCAGAACTGGTCCAGTCTGATTCCTGTTTCTTGCAAGAGCTGTTGGTCTGTTAACGATAAGGGGGAGCAGGGGCGGGGAACGAGAAGATTGATCAGTCCCACAGAAAGACGACAAACAAACTGTGAGACAGGAACTGAAGGGGCTTCCAGACACGGCCACTCTAGCCACTAGATCACACTGTCTCCCTCCAGACTACAGCACGGTGTTCATTGTTTCTAGTCTGAATGAAGGACCATGATCAAGTTGCATTTTAACCTTCTCTGGGATAAACTAAACAGGCTGAGCGGCTCAGGTGTCCCCTTTCCCAGGCTCAGTGCTCTGCTGGCCTTTTCCAAATGGACAGCATCCCATTTTGGAGTGCGGCCACTGGAACCAGGCACAGTATCCAGTTATGGTGTCACCACTACCACAGGCAGGGATGATACCTCCCCCATTCCTTTACTCCTACTCAATATTACACGTTGCACCTCCCTTAACCATCTCATCTCTGTCATCCAACAACATTCAGGATCTGGCAGGACCACAGATGCTCCTGGGATGAGAGAACCCCGGAGCAGGAGGGCCAAGAGCTGGGGGCTGCAGAAGTCAGGGCAGCCCAGGCAGCAGTGGAGCGCTATCTGGGATGCCTGCCGTCTGGCTGAGGGGCCAGGACCATGGCTGCCCAGTAGGGGAAGATTGGCTGGGGCAGCACCATGATTGGGACAGCTGGGCTGGCCGTGGCAGCCTGACAGAAGCAGCACAGCTGGGGCCATGTGCCTCCCAGCAGCAGGGCTGGGACTGTGGATGCAGCAGCCTGGGAGGGGCAGCCTGGCAGAAGCAGCACGGCCAGTCACGTGCCACTTAGCAGGTAGCGGGGCTGGGGCTGGCCAACAGGCAGCCTGGCTGGGACTGTGGATGCAGCAGCCTGGGAGGAGCAGCCTGGCAGAAGCAGCACGGCCACTTAGCAGGTAGCGGGGCTGAGGCTGGCCAACAGGCAGCCTGGCCGGAAGGAGCAATGTCAGGGGACCTCCCGTTGTCCAGCAAATTCCCTCATCCAGGCCCAGTCAGGTCCCAAGGGTGTTGGACCAGGAAAGTCCAACCTGTACCCTGCTTATACATCCAAGATTGTTTCGATGTCACTGTAGTCCAAGATACAGTTATCCTGCCCCATTACAGTGATCTAAATTCTCTGTTCCCAGATGTTATGATCCTTCATTCTTATGCAGCACTCTTCCTCGGTAGACGTCAAAGCACTATTATCTCCATTTCCCAGATGGGGAAACTGAGGCACAGGTGGCCTCTTAGTCCTAGTCTAGTGCCTTATCCACTAGACCATGGAGCCCAGAAAGGGATACTTGCACTTAAGACAGCATATGGTGTAGTGTCAGAGTGAAAACATGTGTGGAAATCAACCTACCATCTTGGCTGCTGGCTTCTTTGACACCAAGGCTGGTTCTGCCCAGTCCGGGGTGTTCCAGTCATCCGGGCTCGCCTGCTCTTTGGATGACTCAGTCTCTTGCTACAAGTCAAAACACAGAAAAGGAGGCTCAGCACATGAGGAGGCAGAATCTCCAGTCGGGCAGCAACAGCCAATACAGCAGAAGTCACCGGATGGCATTGTGGTGCACACTCTTCTACGTGTGTGCAGTAGCCAGTTTTGGAAAACGTGCAGTGCTGCAGTTCGCTTGGGGAAGCATGCATGCCTGCTTTTCAGGGGCTATTCCAAGCAGCGCAGGGTGTTTGCTGCCTGCCTTTAATCTTTTTAGCTACAGCAAATTCTTGGGGCAGAATTGCTTCTGGGGAACTGAGAATGGGGCACTAGCACCTAGACCAGTGGTCCCCAACCTTTTGGAGCTGCCTGGTGCCCAGGGGCGGGGCCGCGCATGTGCCGCATGCCCGGGGGCGACGACCTCATGCACCGCGTGTCCAGTGCTGCCAATTCGCCACGTGCCTGGGGCCGGCACCCCGCACGCGCCGCGCGCCCGGGGCAGGGCTGGCCCCGAGCACTTGGGACCACTGACCTAGACTGAGAAACCTGAAATGAGATTGCCCTGCATACCTTTTGTGGCCACCCCTGCCTCAGGACTGTACAGGCAGTGTAAATAAACAAACTGCATTAAAATTACTCCCGCTCCACTAATTTCCCTCCACACAGTGAGGCAGCCCACCTGTTATCCTAAAATAAACTCTATTGCAGATGAAAGGGTGTTGCTCACCTCCAGGCTTCCCCAGTCTTCCTCATCCCATCTATCTGTGGAATTCTTGTCTTCCTCAGTCACTTCCTCCTCCAGATCCCACTGGCTGGATGGAACAGGAGCTGCTGGTACTGTTGCTGGAGAAGGAATGTGGCTGGCTCCTTAAAGAAAAAAGCCCTCAGTATTAGAAGGTGTCTTTCTCTGAGAGTGGCCTGCATCAAGTGCATTAGGGGAACTGTGCCCAAGTTTTCTCCAAACTCCTGTTAACAGCTGGTGCATGACTGCTATAGCTACACTGGCCAACTTCTCAGGGATCCCTTCCAAATCCCTTGTTCATGTATTTGTATGTTGGAAGGTGCTAATTGCTGCCATCACATGAGTCCTGGATACAAAAACATTCACAGCCCTAATTACAGTCAATGGGTGCACCAAGCAGATTCAACAGAAGAAGCAATTAAGCCATTCTATGTAGTAGAAACAGCTACAAAGAATGGAGGAATCAACCAATGCATGTGGTAGGTCAGAATCGTGACTGTGGAGACTACGAGATCAGTTGCAGACAGTGTGTGTTGGAGGCAGAAAGCCCAGAGAAGCACTGAGCAATTATTTTTTAGGGTAATGTGATCTAAGACCCCACATGGGGAATAGAAATGGGTCAGCACACAAAGGCCTAAAAAGAACCAATAGCTGGAAGGGGAAGCTAGAAAAATTCAAAAGGGGTATCAAGCATACGTTTGCAATAGGGTTGCAGAGAGAACTGAGTTAAATAATGAAGCAGGAAAGTTGGATTAGGGCTATTCCTGTTTTACATTTGGGCTTTTAAATTATTTGCCTAACCAAATTATTTTCACTGGTTGTGATCATTAAAACATGCACCATTCTTACCTTAAATGTGATGCTATTTTTTTACTAACCAGCAGGATACACTACACATTTATTTAAGCAATTATATAGCTTGATATATATTTACTCAGATTTTTAATTGTTTCTTATTTATTAGGCAATTAATTGTGATTTGTGGAATTCAATTAAAAATGAGCAATCCCAGCTTTTTAATGTTTGTAATAGCTATATAAAACTATTTTAAATGTGCTGGAAAATGAAAGTATATTCAACATATTTTGTATTTAAAACAAATTGATGTTTATTCATAGACTGGAAAAGAGAAAATAAACTATCCTGCTTTTTCAACTCCCAATCACTTTCTCAATTTTGAATCAACTAGTCATTGAACTGAAGTACAGGTTGAACCTCTGTAATCCAGACTTCCGTAGTCTAGCAACACCCTTGATCCAGCATCTTCAGCAATCCTGTAGGTGTTCTAGGACTGGAACACTCACGGGGAAAAACTGGCGGGCTGGGACCAGGGAAGAATGGAATCCCAGTGACCTAAGAAAGGGATCCCGGATGTTAGGAGCAGAGGGGCTGGCACTGACGTCCCCTGATCCAGAAAATTCCCTGGTTTGGGACCAGTCAGGTCCAAGGGTGCTGGACTAAGGAGGTTCGACCGCTGCTTGAATAAAGTGAAATGAAGAAAATATTCTCTCTGCAGCTCCAGAAGAGGCTACTGTGATCAAAAGTCATTCAGCACTTCAACAAATTCTGGCTCCAAGTTCTTCGGTGGTGATTTCCACCAGTTCAGTAGTTTGATTTTCTTTAAAACTTTGGCGCCAGGTATATACTACTGAATTTGTTTCCATTTAATTTAAATGCTTTTAATAGACTCCAGTATTTTTAGGCTTTAACATAATTTATTAAGAGATCACATTTAATTTTAAGTAGGTTTATTTTTTAATTAAAAATTTAAAAAATCTGATTTCTTCAATTATTTTAATTTGAAGCAATCATTTCTATCTACCACGACAATAAGGTAAAGCAAGAGTAATAGAGCAAGTTACCAAGAATTGTAGTGGATTTTCCATCACTGTCAATTTTTGAATCAAGATGGGATGTTTTCCTAAAAGATCTACTCTATTTCAAATAGGAATTAACACAAGGAAATCCTATGGCTTGTATTACACCAAAGATAAGAGTAGGATCAGTGGTTCTCAAACTGCGAGTTGCAATCCCATTTTAATGGGGGTGCCAGGGCGAGCATTTGACTTGCTGGGACCCAGGCTGAAGCTCAAGCTCCTCCCCCTTCCTCTCACCCCCAGGAGCATGTAGTAATTTTGCTGTGAGACTGCAATTAAGTTTGAGAACCCCTGAACTAGGTCACAAGGTCCTTTTTGGCCTAAACATCTGAGTAGGGGGCAGAATTGAGGATTTCTGAGCAAGGAAACTGCTGTTGTTAGTTTCTACTTGTGTTCAGGGAAACAGGACTTTCTGTGCATTTTTAATAAACAGACAAAATTACACAAAGAATAAAACTGGGCAAAAAATTTCAGCAAATAGTAAATTAGCTAAGAAATGCATTTTGAGGGGCACTAAAACTATATGCCATATTCAACCTTAACTTGCAAATCAACTTTTTGTTTAGAAAAGTTTTGGTTACAAATTTAGCCAGATTGATTTCAAAAATTGTTTTGTGTTTTTCGTTTTACTTCAGGTGTTTTTCTGAGCTGACTCAGTTTTTCATTTCAGCAACCAACACTGAAAAACCATCACTTATTCACTCAACTCTAACTAACAATATACCTGACTTGCATCACTGATTTCCACCATTATGGAAACAACCCTGCAAAGTCCCAAATACTGGCCAAGCGCTTGAGCCAAAGGGACACTGATCCTTATTATTACACACTGGCTAGTCTTCTGCAGGCTAACTGCATGCTGCACACACAAGTATTTCTTTTTATCGCTTGAAATGTTGCTTCTGCTGGCTTCAGTGCCAAGTGCTGCATGGCTATTCCTAGAAATTCTGAGGCCACCACCCAGAGGAGACTGGTGAAAGGGGTTGGGGGGAGCCACTGGCCACGTGACTCCTCTGCCAACCTGGGGAATGGCCAGGACAACTCCCCTCCATCCCAGGCCCCACCTCTCCCTTGCACCACCCCTCCCCACTTCTTCCCTGCCCTTGCACCATCTCCCACTCCACCTCTTCACATGCACGCCCCCCACACCCACTGGCAGTGGTGGGGCAAGCAAACAACGCAGCCGCAGCTTGCTTTGCTTCTTTGGCTGTGTTGCTGAACACCTGCTGTGGGCCCCAGGTCTTCTCACAACTGCTGGCTGGCCCCTTGCCCCTCCTGCCCACAGCATTTGGGGGCACTTGCCCCCACTAAACATCATCTATGCCACCACCTCCAAGTGCACAAAGCCCAACTCAAGCATTGAGATTACAGCTGTGTAAAGACTGACCAACACCTGGTGGCTCCAGTGCACCTCCGGTAGGGGTTTCCACAGCTGTCTGTCCTGCCGTGGTCCCAGCATTGGTTCGGATTAGCTTTGACGTGAGTGATGAGACCCCTGTGACGGCCCAGCCTGCCCAGCTGGCAGCTGCTCCAATCCCAGGGCTCGTGGAAGCTGCATGAATGTCCTTTTCTGCAGAAGGAGCAAAAAGAAAAAAGGGAAAACGTGCATTAGTTTTGTTTGGTATTTAAAGGCCTGAAGTCTTCAGTGCAGGATTAGGCTTGCTCACCCAGTTCAGAGAGCTGAGATGGGTCTTCAGAGACAGCTTCTAGCTTAGTCATGAAGCTTCGAATGGCCTTGAACGTCTAGGAGATAGAGGCAAAGTTACTGGGAGCCCTTGTGGCACCAGTGACTGCCCAGATCCCAATAGAGGTTGGGTGCCAGCAGCCAGCATCACAGTAGGCACCAGAATGGAGTTGGCCAAGACTGGAGGCCCCCAGTGTGCTGGACACTGGAGCTGGAGGCTGGGAGTTAGTGGCTCTTCCAACTGCACTCCAGATCCAACTCACCTGATCCCTGACTGTCTTTTCAGGGTCAACTGTCAGCACACAAAGAACTGGTAGTATTTTGAATGCACAGTCATTCATAGAGTAGAAGTTGTGAGTGGCAGCAAATCCCAAGACACCTGCTGCCCGTGAGGGAGCAAATGGGTCTTTTGTGGCACGGCTGAAGGCAGAGATCAAAACTCTTTGTCTAGTCTGGAAAGAAGAGAATGGTCAATTTATTATGTGTATTATGGTAGCACCTGGAAGCCCCTGTGACAAATCAAAACCCTTTGTGCTAACCCTGCACAAACACACAAAAAACAGTCCCCGTTCTTAAGAGCTTTTAATGTAGACAGACTAGCCAGACACAAGGTGGAGAAAGAAAGATTACCTCTGTTTTACAGCCAAAGAACACTGAAGCATTTTGACCAAGGGGTTACACTGACTTTGTGGCAGAGCTAGGAATCAAACCAGGTGGTACTTTAACCACAAAATCCTCCTGCTTCTCCTCCTGAAAGCTAAAGCATTGCTAGGATCTCCAATCCACACTTCCCCACTTAAAGTGGCCACAATCTTCCTCTGCATCATATGAGCTCTTGGTGGGAAATAGAGATTTTAAAGGGAAATGGTCCAGGGAAAGAAACCAGGGTCTGTGTCCCTATTTTCCCCGTCCCGCCCAGCACTGGGTCCCTCTGGAGTGCAGGAAATTGTCTCATTTCACTCACGCTGGCATTGAGGTAAGGACCAATCTTTCCAAGGCACACGGTGGTGTTGCAACGAATGGGCCCCTGGTCATCCTTGGCTTGCAGACGGGCAAAGTGCTTCATCAGCTCCATGTTGAGGTTGTTCTCATTCAGCTTGGGGGCTAGAAGCAGCATCGACTGTAAGGGGAGGAAAGAGGCTGGTCATGGGGTAGCTCAGGTCTAATAACATCTAACTCTTACATAACACTTGCCATCAGTCACTCTCAAATGCTTTACAAAGGCGGCTGATATCAATAACCCCATTTTATATATAGGGAAACTAAGGCATGGGGTGTTAAAGTGATTTGCACAAGGTTACCCAGCAGGCAAGTGGGAGAGACAGGAATTTAACCCAGGTCTTCTAAATCACAGTCTAATACCTATCCATTAGGCCATGAGGCTTCCCTAGTTCACAGGATGTGTTGAAAGCATGGCTAACAACATGGGGGCATCCCTTGTACAGCTGCAGCAGGGCTTTTATCCTCAGTAGGATGCTAGTATTATGCAACACTTCTATTGGAATGGAACTTAAAGGGTTTATGCCCCATTGTATCAGGCACTGAACAAACAGAACAATTATAGCCGGAGAAAACCTTTTTGACAAAACAGTTTTCCGCAACAAAGCACAGTCTAGTCAAAAATGAAACAACATGAGGTGATGTGGATTTTGAAAACATTCTCAATGAAAGAAAGTCCAAGTGATTAGACTGTTTCAACTTTATCATTTAATTGTATTTAGTTTCTACTTCTATATTATATTAACTTTAATATTAGATTACATTACAGGCACTGTATTTACTTACATTTAATACTGTAGTGTTTTGACAAATCAAACTATTCAACATTATTGAGAGCAAATGAGAGGCTACATGATTCACTTTATTTCATGAACTTGTATGTTATATATTTATATTTACAGTATAATTTATATATTGTTTTGATATAAACTAAATGCTTTTATCTTTTTAAAATGAAATAACTTGGCATTATCAAAACAAAACATTTCAATGATTCCAAATCAATTTTTTTCAGAGCTTTCATTCCATGGGAATCAGAAGAAGAATCATTTTTGAAATGTCAGAATTTCCCATGGAACAGAAATTTCATTTCTGAGCCAACAAATAACATCATACTCCCCGCCCTCAGAGAGCTTAACAAGGGGTCTGGCCCCATTATTTCAGGCACCACACAAATATGGTCCTATCTGTCCCAGATCACATATTATAGTCAGGCAACAGAGTAACAGCCATTGGGGTTTGGAATTGACATGTCCTGTAGAGGCAGATAATTCAATAGTCCTTTGTCTGTCAATGAAGCCCCTTAATATCAAGGAAAGGGCTGAGTTAAACCTCACTGAAACTGGGAGAGAAGGAGGTAACTGCTACGCTTCATTAATGGTGCATGTAAGAAGCCATTAAAGCTTCTTTATGAACTTAGAGCTGAAATATTAAGGAGCCTTCAACCATTGTTCCCTGTAGGGATGTAAAAGAATAGTTAAATAGTCAACTTATGCTTATCAGGTAGTTGAGTTGACTACCTGCATTTCCTCCCACTCCTTCCTGCTGCTATATCAGAAGCAGCTGGGGGGAGACGGAGGAGCAGGAGCTGGTGGGAATGGCTTAAAAGCTGGTTCCCTCCCCGGGTATTGTCTCTGCAGTGGGGGCGGGGGGCAGGGGAGGCAGAGGTGCAGCTGTCTGGAGCAGGTGTGAGGCAGACGAGGTGTGTGCTCCAGTCCTGCAGTAGGGTGGCAGTGGGGCTGGAGCGCCAGCATGGGCTCCCCAATGCTGGGAAGGAGCTCTGAGCCTCAGGGGCTGGATCCAGGCAAACTGGGGGCTGCATGAAGCAGTCCCAGCTCATGCCGGGTCCCATGCTGCACCTCTGCCTTTTAAATGTAGTCAGAGCCGCAGAGGGGGTAGCGAGCATCCCCCCATCAACTACTCGATTAGCTGGTTATCCACAATTTAACATCCCTAGTTCCCTGTAAACTGTGCAGTTGTGCAGCTGCTCAGGAGAAATTCAAATGTTGCCCTGATGATTAGTAGAGCACTCACAGCGAGGCTTCTTGTTTCTCCTGATGGTGCACATAAAAAAAATTCATTCTGCACATGGATGGAAAAAATCCATACATGGATGGAAACAGTTAGAGGGAACATTGGTTCTAATAAAAACAAGTGCGTGTCAGCACATATGCGGCTGCCCAGGCATTTGAATTCAGGGGATAGAGGGGCCTTCCTAGGCATTGTTTTAGCAGAGCTGTGAGAGAAAAAAGACACCAGCTACAGGAGAAGGTGGCAAGGAAGCACCAGACACAGAAGCATGGGAAGAGGGTTTTGAGAAATGCCCTCACTGATAAAAATGGCATCTTATTTCCAGTCAGACTTTTTCTAGCTCCAACTTTCAACCACTGGATCTTGTTAGATGTTTCTCTGCCAGACAGAAGTCCATTAATAAAGATTTGTTGCCCATGGGGGTATTTATAGACAGTGACTAAGTCACCCATTACCCTTCTTTTGATAAGCAAAATGGATTGCCAGTAGGGATGTAACAGTACAGTTGATTAACCGATTAGCAAAAGCTTATAGGTTAATGCTATAGACTACATGCATTTTCCCCTGTATTTGCCAGTACATTTTTAGCAGGCTGGCCAGCAGTCCAGCTCAGTCCTGGCTTGAAACAAGTCTGGGACCTATCCCTGCTGTGGCTCTGCATTTAAAGTTTATTAGGAGCCAGGTGGACAGGCAGCCTGGCACAGTTCTGGCTTGCACTGAGTCCAGGAACTCAGACCCACCCTAGACACGGGCTGCTGCCATCCCATGCTGCTGCTGCCTCTTTATCAGAGGCTGCAGCACAGAATGACAGGCAGCTGGACCAAGAGCTGGTTTTTAAACTGGCTCCCCTTGCAGACCATCTCCTGCTTGACATCCCATGCTGCTGCCTCTGATGCAGAGGCAGCCGCGCAGAGTAGCAGGGAGTTCCTCGGGAGTGAGACTGGAGCACACTGCCC